GAGGTTAGGCACGAAATAGATTTTTTTCAATAATTTTTGTCACGGATTATCGTGAAATTTGGATCTATTTTATGTACGATTTTTAAAAATTTTGGACCTCTTTTGTCAGCTTTTTTTTATAGTTAAGACTTAGAGTTAGAATTATTAATAAAGAGTATAGGTGGATTTTGGTAGGGCTTATATTTCAAATTGAGACCCCAAATTTCACGATGATCCGATTTCACGAAAATCTTTGACAAAAAATCATCCCGATTGTTTTTTAGAGCACAAATTATGATGTTGGTCTTTGGAATTATGAAGAAGGTACAGAAGTCGATCCTAATTTATCTTTTCAAGAAACTGATGAATATTTAACAATATCGATGTCTGAGCGACCCTTTAACGAAGATACTTGGAATCAATGGAGGCTCAGTTCTGGAAATATTATTACTGATCTTTTGGCAAAACATGCAAACAAAAACGGATATCCTCTCAGGTAATTGTAGATAATTGTCAATTCTTAACATATGCTATAATAATCAATTTTTTAGACCTGAAGTATGGGGTATCGTTCGTTGTGGTTTTAAAATTGCAAAACCGGAATGGTGTAGCACTGATGAATATGCGGAAATTCAAAGATTCACAAGGCGAGCAACTATTTATAGTTGTCCACAGGTTATATCTAAACTTTTGAAATTTGTATGTATTTTCTTTTGCGTCAATTCTTTGTTCTTTATTCTTGAAGTTCTAAAATTACTCTTTAAAAGAAATTACTTGAATCCTTAGGGAAAAACATTGAGAAAGTTCGGCTTTTAAATAATTTTAATGAAATTATCAAGGAAGACAATAGAAAGCTTATCTTAGAAGAGCTTAATACAACCGACATAATGTTTCTTCAAGATCCTTTTGAAAAAATTTTTATTAAAATTTTATCAATATTGTAAGTACATTCTTTATGACTGATTCCAGTTCGCCATCTAATAAATTTTTTTGGCATAAAGTCGAAGAGACATCTTTCCAGATGACTCGGTAATTCAACAACCAAATGTATCGGAATCAGATTATGGAGGTTACATGATTCATCCTGTTTTGAAATGTACGCTTTTTGGTCTAGAAAAATTTTTACATTATCACATGTAAGTAAATAGTCCTTGGTCTTTATTTACAATGATTTTGTTAACAATTATTTATGCTTAGTAATTTTTACTTAAGAGGAGAGGTAACCTTGTCATCAGTTAAATCGTGTCGCGAAAGACGCAGGTGTATTACCATGTTTGAACAAAAAGCAGATGGTGTATTTCTTGTGCGGTTGAAAAGATCTTTTATTGAAGTTGGTCATCTTGAAATAAGCGGTGGTTATGAGTACAAGGATTTCTCACGGTCAACGTGGGATGCTTGTTGCAAGTTGCCAATTGGTAATGCATATATGCTGGAAGAGATTGGGGAGCGATTTCGAGGAGCTTCATGTGAAACATTTTCAAAAACAAGTGTTTTTTCTCTGCATGCTTACGGTAGGTATTTAATAGAATATTCTTAAAGCCTTCTTTCATAATTTTGTCTTATTTTTGCATTTATAGAGAATCGGATCGAACTGTGGAGAATGTATGTACCATCTCGTGGAGTTTTACAATATGAAAGAACGCATAGAGCATTTGTTCCTATTTGTTTCGAAGAAGAGCGAAAGTATATTTTTGATTTTGTTGTTGTCTTATGGGATCTTAGGGTAATGTTCCTTTTGACAAATTTAATGTTTTGTTCGATTTTATCATCAGCTTATTTTCTTAATTATTAGTGCTGGTTATTGGAGGTTTCTGAACTCATTTATAAATTACTTGAAGAACATAACGATTCGGACGTAAATATGTCCAATCTTTCTTCTGGTATTCTCCCACCACATCCATTTAACCCGCAAAAGATAAACATAAAAAAGGTATTATAACTGCTTATGCAAAAAGTGAACCAGGTAGCTCTTTCGTTCGATCTGATAAATGAATAAATTTTTTATGAAAAGAATGTTTAACAGTATTAAATAAAAAATACGGAATTAAAATTTATGAATACTGGTTTTATCAATTATACGTTACATATTACGATACAAATTTTGTGGTTATGCTTTACAATATTTTTTTTGAACTTTTGACGATGGGCTGTCGCTGAAATTTTTATTACTTTCGGTTACAAATTCTAAATAAATAACAAATAATACATTACTAAACATGCAATTAACAATTTATTTATCGAGAATGTTGAACTTACTGCAATATTATTTTAGATGCGTATAAATATTTTTTTTATCAATATATAATGCTCTTTTATTTGAATTAATTATTTCACTCACGTGAGTATGAAAATTATTTATAATTATTGGAATTAAAATTAGTAAAAGGTTCAAGATTCAAGAATATATATGCTTGTTTACCATTATGCAATACTATTCAAATTATTTCGTTTAGACGGTAAATACAAAGATCATAATTAATTTTGGAATTAAAATCAGCAAAAAAAGTTCACAAATCAAAAACACAAATACTTATTTATTATTATATAATATCTTTCAAATCATTTCATTCGTATTAATTGTTTTATTCAGCGCGAGAGTATAAAGATCACTTATTGGCCATTTGGATTAAATCAGCAAACAAGTTTGCAAACAAAAAATATAAATACTTGTTTATAATTCATAATACCCTTCAAATTATTTTATTTGCATTAATTATTTTATTTAGCGCGTGAGTATGAAGATTCTTTAATCATTAGAATTAAATCAGTAAAAAAAATTCACATAAATACTGATTTACCATAATATAATACTTTTCAAATCATTTCATTTAGCCGTAAGTATAAAAA